AAGTTCTCCATAAGAATCCTTTAGAGGATGAAGCTTCTCCCATCGTTATGCTTTAAATAACAACAATTAGCACTTGAGGTTTGTGTTAATTTCTGGAGACAGCTGGCACTTAACATTGGTAAACTGGCATCTTTGGTAGCTTGTATTACTAGGCAATACCCATATAGGCTAAACCCAAAATTTAAAAAGTCTAACACCCACAGGTAGTAAAGAATGTTGATACATATACACACAGCATATTGTACAGTAATTAATGTACTTATGCAGACGTGTGTTGACTTTCAGTGAGGATAAATCTCTACTGGTACACGGGTGTATGGTGTGCAATGCTAATAAGGCAGTTCTTACTCAGCAAAGTGACTCAATAGCTGGTTAAATATAGCTAGGTTTGGAGTCTCTTTTATGCCAGGAGAGACTGTATCATAAAATCTGACATAATTTCGGAGATTGAAAAGTTCTTGGCAAAATTTTCCCTTACAGGATGTTGGTTTTAGGATTTTGCTGTGATTTGCTGAAAAGCTGCCAGTAGCATCCGAGCCAGTGCTTGGTCGCAGGAGTTGGCAGAGTTGCGCTGGWGGCCTTGTATTGGGGATGTGTTGGGCCAAATCTCAGCTTGGAAAATGTCTGTGAGCACCTCCACAGAGAGGGCTCTCCAACCTTGAGCTGTGACCAAAGGTGGGTAGTACCAGCAGGCGAAGGAAGTGATTGGCATAGAAGCCTTCCACTTAAAAATCCTGGAAAAGTGTTGATGTGCTGTCCCAGACCAGTGTGCTGCCACCTTTTACCTGCCTCCAGTCCCCTCCTCTTATCCCAGCCTTCTCCTGTTTATTTATTTCACATGGATTAGAAGTGCTACTTGTTGCCAGGGGTTTTTACTCGTCTTTTCCTCCTTATTTGTCAGCGACAGCCACACGCTGCTCACAAAGGAGACTGGTGTGATTAAAAGACCTCGGTTACTAAGGTAGCCATGGCAACAGCCTCCGTGCCGGTCTTTGTTGCCTGCTACAACTTTGATCTCCGAAAGGGGCTGCTGCTGTTTCTCCCTCCAATGAAAGAGAAGGATGGGAAGAAAGAATAAAGTTTACTCTAAGCAGAGGGAGCCCASAGGAACTCATTGCAGAGCCATGCTCCCCCAATAAATCTCACAGCAGCTTCCATAGAAAAGTATCWGATTTACGAGGGCCACATTTCCTCTCCTGTGCTTTCCAGCCTCTCCTCAGAACMGTGTCCCTTGCCAGGGGCCTCTTGCTGTGGCATGGCTTGGCAAAGTTTCCCACTGCTGAGAAGGAAATAATTCCCTCTGTAGTTGCTSTGTGCTGTGATCCCATTGCAGCAGGTAGGGCTGCGGAAGCAGCCTTCAAACAGGAAAACAGTTCAGCATTTACTGCCATAGTTACCCAATATTTATCACATTTATGCAATTGCCAGTATTTACCATGTTCCCATATTTACCCAATTGCCATGTTTCTGACTGCACCTGCACCTACTTTATTCATGCCATCRTTTCTTTTCAGTGCACCACTTACCCTAATTATTTTTGTGTCTCTTCTCTGCAGACTCTCTGCTAATTGTGTGCTTGACTCCAGGTCTTTCCTGCTCCGCTGCTATTTGCTCACTGCTCTGTCGCCTGCCTGCCTCCTGTGTATTAACTCCTGTCCTCGCTCGCCTCTGCTGTGTGTCTGCACCTCTTGGAGCTGCTCTGCATCCCCTCAGCTTTTCCTCTCCCATCCCTCCTCCCGTGCTCTGCCGGTGCAGATGGGGGGCTTGCGAGCTCCATTGCATTTCAAGGCTGGCTGGGGCCTGGGGCATGTGAGGTGCCTGGTGAGAGGCCACTACGGGCAGGTAAAACCCTTCAGCAGCATGGTGGGAATAGAGATGGCACATGTCCCAGATCCTTGCAGGAATGAGGACAAGCTCCCAGCTCTGACACAGTCACCCGGGACAACCCTGGGAAACGGGGCCACTATCTGTTCCCTCTATCCCCGCCGTGGTGAGAGCTTGCACAGAAGACATGAAGCTCTTGAGGGTGGGGGCACAGATCTGTGACTCAGCAGCAGTGCCCAGCCGTGTCTTGGAGTGCCTGCAGCCCTTTCTASGGTGGGCAGAGCTGCTGTGCAGAGTGGTGTGGCCAGATGGTCTCTTGGCAGGATGTTTTACTGAGTTGTTTCTTCCTCCCAAATTGCTGTCTAGCCCCAGCCCCCACCTAAATGTCTCCTTAAAAAAGAGAAAAACAAAACAAGAGAGAAATGAGGTGAGCTTAAAGCCCATAGAAGGAGTCCTAGGCATGGAGAGATGGGTGGGTGCCGGCCATGGGTGTTCTGACTGCCTCCTGCCTGCTGTTTGGGTCCAAAAGGAAGCCCTGCTCAGTGTTTTGGACACTGGGTGACCCACCAGGGTGCTGACCTGGGATATGTTCTGTGGCCACTGCCTGGCTCTGTGCCTGTGTGTGGGCCAGGCTCGCAGAGGGCAGGAGGCAAGAGCCARTGGCAGCCCCTGAGCCCCTGAAGTTCCCTGTCCCTGTGCCCGCTGGTAGGATGGGAGTTTTGCTCCGCTTGTWGCTGGCAGCAGCAGCGCAGGGAGGAAAGTCGCCTTCAATGAAGGACAGCGACGGGAGCCTCCCGTTGCTGGGGCAACCGCGGGCAGCCTCAGCCTGCTGGTTTCCCTGGAAGAATCGTGTGGGGAAGGTTATCAGGGGATTAATCCGGGCGGGGAGGGGGCTGAGCTGTGTGAAGCTGGGGGCACGGGGGCACTGTGCTCGCTGGCTGCCAGCTGGGSTGGCCAAGGCAGGCAGAGTTCAGGCTGAGCTTTGGTGGGGTTTGCTGCTGCCTCGGGACCTCCCAGGCTTTGTGCATCCCTGCAGGGGACTCTGGGGCTCCCCAGGCTGTGTGAACACCACTGGCAGGGCAGGGATGCAAATTCCCCAGGCAGATACTCTGACAACCCAAGTGAGGCTGTGCAAGCAGGGAAACGCTTGACTCTTCCTGGGTAGCGCAGAGGAACCGCTTTGGTTTTCTTTGTCTTCACCAAGTTCTCAGTCACTGTTACATTTAAGGGATGCATTTCCCTCTTGGACATSGGGCTCCTCTTGGAGATCAGAAGGTACCTTAAGACCCATCACTTGCAGGGTTTGAGGCTCTTAAGGTAGGTTCAAAATAAAGCAGTTGCCTATTTGTCAATCACCATTTGATAAGGCGTTTCTGCTTTTTAATGGTATAATTTCCTGACCATTTTTACCCCAAATAGAAACCCTATTTAGCTATATACTTCCAACCATTTGTCCAATGGCATCTGCTCTCACACTAGGGCTGCATGTGTGCTTGTGCAGASTTAATACACATGGGAGGTGAGCTACATGCTCATGTCTGCCCATGTTTACATGCACGTGGTTAGTGTGGGTGCTGTTCACATATGACACYGAGGTCTGTGAAAAAATTGCATATTTTTTAACAAAATAAAGAATATATTCAATATGCACGTGGAGCATAACACACTAGTTGTGAACGATCACTTGATCCTTCCAGAAAATGAACTGCAAAGAATGTAATGAAACTCTTTGTAAATGTAGATGAAAATGTTGCAGCAGACTGGTGACAGAGTCCTCCCTCAAAGTGGTAAATGGGGAGCAATTATGTGAAGCATCACCATGCTMTCTTTTGCTAAGGATTCAGGACCACCTCATCAGGACGGGCATTCCTGTGAGTACCAGTCAGCTTTGATGAGTTGCAACCGGCTGCAAAGCGCTGTCTGTAGTCAGAGTATGCTCATCATGGCTCCAGCAGGCTTTCTTGTGGATTTTTGATCTCTACAGAATCTCTGCTGAAGCGTTGAGAAAAAACGGAAGGTGGGGATTTGATTGTAATAACCTTCAAGGACAGACTAGAGGCCAAGGAGCTTGGGATCCAGCTCATCACAGTGTCTGAGTGCTGCGTAGTGCAGAATCCGAGGGGCATGTATGTGGGGAGGTTCAAGGGAACTTTCTCCCACTTTTGCATTGGCTTACCCTGAGCTGCTTCAGTAGTGTTACACCCACAATGTGTGTCTCTCTTCAGAGTGCAGCTCTCCTACCAAATGCATATCTTTAAAAACCCCGGCATGAACCTGGTGCTCTGTGGAAGAGTTTCCAGCACAGCTGTGCTTAGGGCTGTCCTGCCAATGCACAGGTGTGTGTAAATTGCAGCTGGGCACTGTGCAGGATGTTTGCTCTGCGCTGGAAATACCCCAGACATTCACTGCCAAAACAAAGAGGCATTAAGCTGCCTTTGGGCTTGCATTTTGTTTGTTTGTATTTAGTTATACATTTTTAAATTGGTTTGCCTTTTTTTTTTGTTTTTTTTTCCGCAAAGTGATCCCACAAATTTCTACACGAATCCTTCCCTGGTTGGTTTGCTCCTCTTGGGAGTTGGCCTTTGTCACACAGTCTCACCAAGATGCTTATGCACCCCCAAATAATTAGCACACACTCACAGCATTCCTTCAAGGCTCTTTTCCTGGAGTTGTCTGTGCACTCACAGAGCTCCACACAGAGAGCACCATCCACAGATTTTGGATGCATGTGGCTGATTTATCAATAGCCTTGGGTTAAAGATGTTTCAATCCATAGAAACTACATAAGTACATTTCAAAAATAAACCGAGTCCTTCTGTTTTAGCACTGTTGTGCATTTCCAGGAGCTTTTGGATGTGTAGAGCATAACTCCGGAAAGATGTTACCATGTAACCATGCTAAAGGGACTCCTTTTTCTTGTCATTTTGTGCCCAGATTGGTGAGACTCTGTTCCAGATTCTTTCCTCCCATCTCTGCTGATAAAGATAAAATGCAAGGACACAGAAATGGCAGAAGTGCCGAGGCATCRAGCAGGATGGCATCTGGTTGATAGGAATTCACATAACACAGAGTGCAAGTGGGCTGATGAGGAAGGGAACTGGAGGCTAAGGCAAGGGCTGGGGAGTGTGTTTTTCTTGCAGTAACCTCTCTCCTTCTCCTCCTTCTGTCTTTTCTAGGCAGGACAGGGCTGCTTGCTGATCTCTTGCCCAGTTTTGCTGTGGAGATTATGCCAGGTATTCAGTCATTTCATCCTTCAATCATCCATTCCTCTGTGGTCTGTTTATCCTTCTGCAGCATCTCCGTGTGGTGTATGTTTCACTCRTATGTGTGTTTTATCTGGGGATGAAAAGAGAAAAGCCTGTCACTAACTGGGAGCGCACTGGGTTGGGATCTGAGAGAGCTGAGGCTGGGCTGTGCTGGGAGCCAGATTACAGAGATGGTTGGTGTCATGCCAGGATTAGTGGGAGAACAGAAACGCCAGAGCTGTTCTGGGGGAGGTTTTTTGTCAAGCTCTCTGCTCTCCCCTGTTAGCACAGAGGGAACTCTGCTGCAGCCTGTGAGGCCCCCCAGCTCCATGTGGCTCTGTGTGTCACTGCTCCTGTGCATAACTCGGCTCCCCAGACCTGGCCTGTGCCACTGCTACACCATCACCACAGATGGTGGCACAGGAGGTGCTGGAKACAGAGCTTTGGCTGGGTCCCATCAGTGGCACTGCCCCTCTTGGGCTGCATGGCCAGGCCATGATCTTGGTAACACCAGGTGGCTGGGCCCGACACGAGAGCTCTGTGCCCGTGATAAATCCCTCCCGAGCCCAGCTAGCGAGAGAGCCACCAGTTCTGTCACTCCTTGCAGAGGAGACAGAGACTGTGCAAYAGATTGTTTTTGAAAGGGAAAAGCTGTGAGAATAGTTAGCCCTCGAGTCATCTGATCATTCCCTGGTGGTGCCCAAGGAGCATTTCTTTCACACGTTTGTGCAAAAATGCAACTCCATATAAATGTGTGAAGTTATTTTCGAGTCTGTCCCAGGGATGCGAACGGAGAGAAGGCAGACACTCACCCACCTCCAGTGTAACCCAAAGCTCCCTAGAATTCCTGCATGGCAGGAGAGGGATTGGTCTTTTTAGCATAGATAACAGTTGATTCACTGTTGCCTAACACTTTTCCCCTGTTATTTAGAATTTTATTGAACGGATATAAAATTCTGGTGTGTTGGCTAGATAGCTTTCTGGTACCCTCATTGCATGGGTAGACAACCAGAAAGTGTAAGATGCAACAGCAAACCACATTTCAGCTGTTGGTGTTGACTGTTACATGAGTAAACAAAAGCAGATACTTGTGCAAGCACAAACCATTACTTTCCAGACAGAGAGGACACAGAGCATGTCAGCTTGTAGTCATTTGAATCTCAGCATCACACAGGTGTGTTAGGAACTGGTTGAATCCCAGTTTTGTGCATAAAAGAAGAGCTGGTTTTTTTAAACCTCATTAGAGAAGGAAATGGTCTAACTTCCTGTGAAGTAAAATCCTGACTCTTAGGTCCCTGTGGCTGGGACACTGACTTTAAATTCCACTTTGGATGCTGAGTCTCCTGTAATGTGCAATGTACACGCCAACCTGACACCCTTTTGTACTCCTAGAAAATTTTCAGGAAGACCTCAGATGCACTTATAATGGACTTGCTGTCTGTTTTTTCCTCTGCCAGGCTTTTATTTTTTATGGCGTGGTTGTGAACTGTTCRCTGCTCTGATATCTGAGCTTCATTGGATAGCTGTGGCTGGCCACCTGTGTCACCCAGTGCTGTTTCACCTTCTTCTCTGTGTCCATCATGGTCGTAGAAAACGAGATGAGAACACAGCAAATAAAAAACCACTAAGGTTTTGCTTAGATTGGCATAGATTAGGAGTGTGGGACTGGAAAGGATAGTCTGGCTTCCCATSTTGCATGCTATCCCCAGCACCATAATGTCATTCTTTCTGTAAGTTTAGCAAGTTTAGGAATAGTCTGGGTTTGGCCTTTTTCTTTCCAGTTGGATCACTTCCTTTGATGGGTTTCTTTTAGCTTCCCTCTGCATTACTGATCATCTATTTATGTCCATTTATGTAAGATTTATAATACCTGCTTTTCCTCCTGCATTTATCCTCCTACCATATTTACAGGCAGGAGTTACATCTTCCCTCAGCCTTCTGTTTAATAGAGTAACTTAAGCTCCTCTCCTGCCAGGCAGGCTCCAGAGTCCCTTCATCCCTCAAATCCCTGCTTTCCATCAGCTCTCACCTAAATTCATCTTTTCTCCTGCAAAGGTGACCAGAGCTTTATAAATCAGTAACTCCAAGCAAAGTTACAAGGAGGGAAGAGCTTGTGTGATGGCATTCGTATTTCCTTAATGCTACTGGAAATTGTTCCTTCACTGAGCCTAGGATTACATTTGGCACTTTTGGTGCCTGTATTGCATGAATGGTGTCCGGTGTATACTGGGCCATTTCTCTTGTTTTTCAGTTCTTTTCAACCAGTGAAGTCCTGTTCAGAACAGAAATTGTTCTTGATCTTTGAACCAGTGACCCTGAAAGTATTGCTGCACACCTTGAAATTCAGGATAATACTGCATTTCACATTTCCTAWTATAGGTCCAAGGACAACTGGCCTTTTCTTTAACATGTCCCAGCCTTTAGTAACAAAAGAATCCCTACTGCTTACTGTCAAGATATATTAACACATTGTTATTTTCTGTGTCAAGGTGATTAATGAAAATACTAAGCAAAACATCTGTTAGAAGCAGAACTTGAGGGACTGTGTCAGTAATCTCTCAGCTCTTGCTTTCCCATTCATGAATGCTTCCCTTCTGCCATTGGCTTACTTGTTTAGCTGAATTTTTCTCAGCATGTAGTAAGTTCATCACAAAAAAATTATTCCACAGGGACAAAAATGAACTGCAAATTTAAATGAAATTCATCTGTGTTAGCTAAAAAAGAAACATGGAATTAAAAAAAATATAAAACATTTCACTTCACATTTCTGAAGTGTTTTGATTTGTAGATGCCAGATCTTTGACTGACATTTTGAATGTCAGTCAATGAAGGAAATTTTAAATTCTAGGTTTAAAATGGCATTTTTAAAAGGGGAACTTTTTGTAAAAGAGTTAAGGAAAACTCCAGCAAAGTAAAAACCCATGCTTTTATTCAAACAGAAGGCTGTGGATGGATCAAAAAGGACACTTCTTATTTTTGTGTTATATTAAGAACTAGGAAAAATTCTGTTTTGAATGGTCCAAGTGGAACATTTTTCCTTAGCAACGCAGGTGAGGTGTGCACTGTTTTTCCAGTGTGATTCTTCATGCACATTGCAATCCTTGTATCAATAATTCTTGATCTTAAATAATAATGTACCAGGAGACTCTTCAGTGAACTCTGGACTTCTGTTTGGAAATAGTGGTCTGCTGCGTTTTTCCCTCTGGGGTGGGGAAAAACCCTTTCCCTCTGCAAAGCAGCCCCACCACCTCTTTATTTCTTTTTTGCCATTTTTYCAAGGTGGTTGAGTTACCACCTGGGTATACCTGAAGTCTTTTTCTGACCAGCAATCTGGCTTCTTGATAGGTTGGTGCATCTCTCTGACATGAAAAAAAATCCAGGCCTCCTGTACATTCAGAGTTTTGTAATTCCTTGGTCCATGTGTGTTCACTGATCATTCCTTTTATCTGTGGAATTCCTGTGTGGCAGTAGGTGCTGCCCAGGCACAGGCTGAGCCCTGCTCCCATCAGATTTTCTGGCAGCAAAGTCTGAGAAACCTTTTCTCCCTCCCCTTTCTCTTTAAGCCACTCCTGGTTTTTGTGGACCAGCTCTTCCGTGCTTTTATTTGTAGGGTGTTTTTCAGCTGCTCCCTTTTGGGGCCTGGCACACATCATCTGAGGCTTCAATGGGGGAGAAAAAAAGTGGTTGTTGGGTTTCCTGGCTGGCTGTGGTGCCTGAATAGGATGTTCGCTCGGCACATTCAAAAGAATAATTGCATGCGTAGGCCTCGCTGGGAAGGGGCAGGCCTGGCTCGTTTGCTGGGCTATTTATAGCCTGCTTTTCACCATAGTTTGTCCCATTAAAACCAGAATGTGGGTAGGGAACAAACACACAAACAGGGCATGAACATGGCCRAGAAGAATGAGTCTTTGATGAGGTCCAAATGCTAATGGAGCATGTCCTGCGGCGTTGGCACAGGTCTGCGGTGGGGTGAAGGGTTTCTGGCCAGGGAAGCAGAGCTCCTGCCTCTGTGCTGCTCGCCTCTCAGCCAGCCAGAGGTGCTGCCAGCAGGCACCGCATTTCTGTAGCTCATTTCTCGCTGTCACGTGCCATTTCTGCTTTGGCACAAGAGCAGGAGTAGACCTAGTCCTAGACCCACGGGGAGTCAGTCCCCTTGTGTTATTCACCTGTCTGTTTTGTCCCCATGCTCTCCACTGGCAGGATGTTGCTGACGCTCCGCTCCACAGCAATGTGCAATCCTGTAAGTATCTCCCTTTCTCCCCTTGTTTTCCAGAGTGGGTCTTTGTGGGCCTGGTGATCCTGGGGGCGTTCCTGTTCTTCCTCCTGGTGGGGATCTGCTGGTGCCAGTGCTGCCCACACAGCTGCTGCTGTTACGTCCGCTGCCCCTGCTGTCCCGAGTCCTGCTGCTGTCCCCGGGCGCGTGAGTGACCCTGTCCAAGCCTGGTGCAAATCTTTTGCCCTACTACTTCTGCTCCCTGGCAGAACAGGAGAATCTGCTGATACKGCTTCCTTTGCTCTGAGCACTTTGCTTGGCTAAAGAACTGGTTCTTAGGGAGTGAAGCATCTGACCTATTACTCAATGGTTGAATGCTCAAAGTTAATTACAAATGTAATTCCCTGAGCCCTCCCTGCCTTGGCAGCTGTGTCTGCTTCTCCAAAGTGTCATGCTCCCATTCCAAAGTTGTTGTTGTCTCAGTGAGTGTTGCGGGTCAGAGCTGAGAGCATCCTGGGAGGTTTCTTCCTGGCAATGCAAATCAACTGCCCTCTGCAACAGTGCAAAATCCTTACAACCCAGCAAGGTTCCTGGTCAGGCTCAGTCAGATCTGTCAAGTTCCATGAGCCTCATCCTGCTGCTTGAGTCATCAGTTATTTTTAAAGCTGAACTGCCACTAAATCATGGCAGTGGCRGTGCTGGCTCTAACACCCTGAATGACTTTCTGGGCATCTCGTGGTGCCATGTGCATTTTTTAAACTCCCCTCAGTGCCCTTTGAGGCTTGGAAAAATTTGGCTCATCCTTGTTAATTCATTAGTCTGGTTGTCTCCTGTGGGGTTGCCACCAATGTTGATGCACGTTTTGTCCACGTGTCCTGTGGGTCTGTGGGGGCTGGTGTGTGATGCTGACTCTTGCTCTTGTTCTTTTTCAGTGTATGTAGCAGGCAAAGCAGCAAAAGCTGGGTACCCTCCTGCAGTCTCTGCCATGCCAGGTCCATACTACATCCCCAGTGTTCCTGTAGCTGGTGTCCCGTCTCCTGCTGTGCTGATGGATAAGTCACACCCCCCTCCCTTAGCCCCAAGTGAGGCCAGCGGAGGAAGCCAAAATGGTAATTTACAGTGCCAGGCACAACATTCACTTACTGGGAGTAGGGCTGGGATAGGGAGGAACAATTGTCAGTGATGGAGTGGTATGAAGAGAAGAAACACAGAGAAACTGTGTTTTAATCCTGTCTCTGATATTTGCATTAGGGCCACATGGTGTAACTTTTGTAGGGCCATCAGCCCAATGTCAGTTTGTGGGTGCCTAATTAGGTCAGCAGGGAATGGGAGGCCAAGCTTCTCTGCAGAACCCCTCTCATTGCTGCTGCATACATTCACTCGTGAAGGACAAAAGGATGATTTCAGGGGAGCAGAGGCAGGAGCCGTTTTCCCCTTAGAGCTGGTGCCTTGCAAGCTGCTTTCTCTTTGCAAACTGTCCTTCCAACCCTCTGCAGGGCACTGCTTGGCCTCTGGCAGGAGTTTTTGCTGCAGCATGTTTTACTGTCCCCATGGCATTTTGGGCAAAGTAACTTWTTCTGTTGATATTTCTGCCCAAGAGCATTTAAAGCTGGACCCTGCCCTCTACCTTCCACGAGTCAGTAGGTCACTTTTTTGTTCAGCCCTTGTATTTGTGAAATGTGAGTGAAAAAAGGCTTCTGACAAGAAAGGAGTTGTGGATCAGTGTCAGACCTAGAGTGTCAGTATGATGCCTCTGTCTCGGGGAGGGTCACTTCTGCTGCTACAAAGGAAGCTGCCATCAAGGAAAAAAGAGGGCAGCTATTTCACCACATGCATTTCAGGATCAGAGTGGCTGTCTAAATTCAAACCTGCTGCAGCAGAAATTACTCTCACCAATGTGGAGTCATCACTGATCYAGCTAAGTGTCTGATTTCAAAGCACTACACCAAGTATCAGTTGTTAATTAACTCACGACAATGTGTTGATAGAACACATCTGAAAAGACAAGATTCAGTAACATTATTAATTGAGCTTTTGGGACAACCCTACACATGCTTCCCCTGCCCCAGTCAGTGTATTACCCTTTCTGGAATTACAAAAAGTATTTTCTTTCAATAATCCTACTTCTTTTTTGCCACAAAAATCATAACAGAGCTCTGGAATGGAGCATTTTGAAATAGGAAATAAATCAATCACTGATCCAATGCAGAACGTATCTGATTCAAAAACTGTTGTCAGAAAATGATGAATGACACCCCAGTACTTAAATTTTTTTCTCCTGTGAAAAATGTCCCTGCACGTAGAGTGTGGTGTTGGTTGTGGGAACTCCAGGGATGTTTTAAGAGTCAGATCACAGCTCCCAGTCCTGTCTCTGCTAGCAGAGCACAAGAATACAAACAGTGGATACGTTTGGTAACCAAATGGAATGGCTCTTAGGGTCCCATGATCCTTACACAGAAAGATGCATTTATTATATAATGCATCCAAATCAGGTGTCTGGACTCAATCCCTCACCTCAGAACTTGACAGGAAATAGTACATATTGCAAGCAAAAACATTATCACACAGTTTTAATCTTTGTGGCAAGACAACAGAGATTCTCAAGCTTTTTAAAAAATCATTTTTAGTAGTAGTTTTTGCAATAAGGTGGACAAACCCTTAGGCTGGATCATGGACCTGCTTTTCAAGGTGCATGAACTGTRGAGCTAAGGAGGATTTATAGCCTATGCTCTGTTCCTTTTCTCTTAAAGTCCCCCACAATGCCAGAATATCCCCTAATGACAGGCTGTAGAAGRGAAAACATTGTGTGGCTTTTCCAAGCTATTTATTTGCTAGTTGGCCAGGCWGCAAGCTAAACAAAGCAGGTAATCGTTGAGTTTAAAAAAGGTCTTTTCTTAGAAGGAGCAATAAAAAGCCTTTGTGGCCACACAGCCAGTGTAGGTCTGATCTGAAACCTTGTGTCTTTGGGACTTCAACCTTTCTGTCAAATCCATTTGAAAAAAATGGGATCAGAAGTGCTTGGGAGGCAGAAACAAGAGTATTCTGTAATTCTGGCTGCCTGGCTAAAAATGACAGCCTTTGCCCTAGATAGATTCTCTGCTTTTAAATGACCCCTGTGAGGGGATCTAGTGAGCAAAATCAAGCATGAGGGTATTTAGAAAATTTKTCTAGGCTTGCAGAAAAGTTCTGATTAAGCCTAGGAATGATATCCTAAACTTAGGGCTCAATAGGGAAAARAACACCCAAAATATTTATCTCTCTTTTTAGAAGAGTATTGACAACAACAGTTAGGATTTATGCTCTATTTTAAATGCAGTGGTTACCTGGAGGCTCTTGCTTAGATCCCTTAAACCCTGCACACAGGGAAGCTTTTGGTCCTACATGTTTAACATGGAAAGGATGTAAGGATGAGACATCACTTACTTCCTAAACATGCATGTCTGGAAAAAAAATATTAATGCTGTCCTTTCTGAGGAGGGAGGCTGCTTACAGTTTTGGCTGACTTGGTTCCACCCACAGAAGAATAAAAATAATGTCAAGTTAAATACAAATTAAACATTAGAAATTTATGAACTGTTCAGAAGAAAATACAGTCTATCAGGGAAGACTATTCCATTCCCTTTGACTTCAGCAAATGGTGGTCAACATCCCTGCATCTTTATTTCTTTATAATTAAAATGGGTTTAWAATTTTTCAGACCTTATTAAAGGCTTATGGCAATTTACAGATGAAGAAGAGTGTGAGGAGGAAATAATAATATCTTTGATTCTCAGATGAAGGAATAATGAAGAGATTAATAAGTTGAACATTGAGTATCACTATGAGAAGTATTTAATAAACAGAGACAAAACATACTTCCTCTGTAGTAGGAAAATACTTTGTATGAGCTGTTCACAGTCATCTTTGCAGATTTAAATGCAAAATAATTTCTAGAAGCTTGCAGAATTAACCAAGAAATTCATTTGCCTTTTGATACAGAGCCGCAATAACAAGTTTAGTATGAAGYTAGCATGAAGCCTAGCTAATTCTCCATCAGTTCCAGGAGCTATAGATGTTGCCCAGACGGATATTTGGCACAGCCTCCRCATGAGCAGTGGCTCTGGGGAGACAGAGTCTGGAAGCTGCCTGTACAAGTTCCCCAGAGGTTATTTGTTGGTCAGAGTGGTTTGCTGGCCTGTGTGTAAATGAGGTGGCAGCTTAGCTGAGCTSCTAGTAGGCACATTAGGAGAAAGAATAGTGAGAGGCCTCTTTCCTGGCATGGTACCAGACAGAAGAGAGCTGGTGAGGTGGAGAACTGGCCTTTCTGCTGGTGCAGTGCAGCCAGAGCCAGTCAGTCCAGCCCCTCTTAATAGCAGCAACCAACGTCACTTGAGGAGAGCTGCTGTGCTTCTACSTTGGAAGGCAGAGGCAGGGCTCCTTGTGTTCTGTAAATCACTCTGTGCGTTTCCAGCCACTGTGCACTCACTCATGGGGACAATAAAGCACACACTGCTGTCAGCTGAGCTGTCTGCAAGCACGTTAAGAGAAAGGACCCTGACAGACCCGGACTATGTTTTTACATCCTATGCCATTCCCAAGGTCGTATTTCAGAATGCAGTCACTTATCGTACACATTCACAGTCCAGACCCACAGTAAAGCTCTTTGCTTCTGGAGGAATTTATGGGGTTATAAGAGRAATCATTCTACCCACTTCTATGGCACAGCCATTCCTGAAGCAGAGCATGGTTATTTCCTCATGCACAGACACATCCACAGCAGCTGAGGACAGAAGGTGCCTCAGAATACCTCTGCCAAGTCCTTGCTCAGCCCACGCAGCGCATACTATGCAATGTACTACTGAACCCAAATGTTAATAGCCTGATGTATTGCAGTGCTGAGGGATAAACAGAAGGAACAGGTTGGCTCRAAACCACTGTCCAAGTATTTAAATTGTTCCCCAACAGGAGCATTCATGCAACATTGCAGTATTCCCACAAGGAAACATGTTAACCCTGTGCAAGGCAGACAGGTTCCATTTTGCAGTGCTAAGTGAATTATCCTTGCGATGGTTCTCTAATGAGGCTGAATTTGAGGGTTGTAGTCCTCCCTAGACCTGAGTTTTTGTCAATCCTAAAATAGCTCCAGGCTGAGACCTTTCTTAAATAAACTGCTATAAAAACCTTATTTYCTTCAAAGAAAGAGTGTAAATGTGGAGTTCTCTGCTTGCTGACCATAGACTGCTTTGAGGTGGTCAAGCTGTTCATAGCTATTGTTAGCAGGTAAAGTTTGCGTGGAGCCAGCCTGCCAGAGTTAGAGCTGCTTTGGCTCCAAGTGTATGGGGGCTTCTTTTCTGCACACAGGAATGTGGAAAAGTCAAAAAGGTGTCCAGACTTCCCAGAAGTCAGGCACTTAGTGTATGTCTAAGATAGATACTTTTTCCGTAAAGTAAAGCACGTAAAGAATCCCAGAGCAGGCAGTTTCACAGCTASCAGTGACCTGGTTGGCCTCATCCCAGGAGGCAGTATAAATCCCAAAGCAGTGKGATGTGCTTTATGGGATTTTAGTGWTTCCTTCTGTGTTCTCTGGRGCTTCTGCCACACGCTCTTCAACCTGTGTGAGGAGAATTCATGGGWGTGGGAGGGTGGAGTGGTCTTGCACAGTGACAGCTCCCAAGTGCTCAGCCATCTGCTTCTCCTGCAGACTGGGAGCTGGCGGCTCTGGCAGTGTAGAGGAAGCCTGATCTTCTGGGACTGCTTCTCCCGTACCATGATGAATCTTTTCAGTAGTGCTGAGGAAGGAGAAATGAGTTCTGCTTTTCTCTCTGCCATCATCTGTGGGAGCTGRAATCACTCTGTGGCAATGAGGGGATTGCTTTTGCTTTAGCTGGGCAAGTTGGGCCAGCTCCAGAGCCAGCCTCACACCGGGAAGGGGTGAGGTGGCACAACTGCTGTGCTGTGAGGATGTCCCACCATGTAGGTACCCATCATTTGCTGCATTTGGTTACACAAATTGGGCATTTACAGACTGTTTTTGCTGTTCCTGCAAACGTTTAAAATGATGCAAACGCTTACAACTTCACATCCCACACTGTAGATGAATTTCTTGGGAAGCAGCGACTGACTCAGTGTGTTTTGACGCAGCCTACCTGCCTGCAGACGTGAGCTCAGCTATAGAAGCAATGTTATGGTAAAGTCTCCTTGTTCTTAAATGGGTTTTCCTCTAATGTCTTCTCTTCTCTCCCTAGCAGTGCGCAAAGGGTACAGGATCCAGACTGACAAGGACAGGGACTCCATGAAGGTGCTGTACTATGTCGAGAAGGAATTGGCTCAGTTTGACCCAGCTAGGAGGATGCGAGAACGATGTGAGAAACAAGCATGGTTTGATTTTTTTATTCCACTGACCTAAGAAAGACTGCATTTTTATAGTTGAAAGTTCACTGGTTCACCTCAGGGGTCAGCCCCTAGGATGTGATATCCAGGATATGGTAATTGGGAAGATAAAGTCTAGCTTTTAGGTATCTACAGGTATGTTCCGATTTTATCAGTCTGGTGCTTACCTAATCATTCTCAATTAGAGCAAAGTGACGGATACTGAAAAGCTCATGAAAATTGTCCACTCRTATAATTAAACTTTGGAATCATCAGCATCTGAAAAGCCCAGTCCCTATTCATACCTTCTACAGCCTATGGTGTGATAATAGCTGGGATATTGTTTTCACTATTTCTTAAGAGTGTGGCGTCACTAAATTCCAGCATGGCACACTAGGAGAGGGTTGATGTTATTGAAAGCATGTTTTGTGGGCTGCAGTGGCCACAGTGTGGCTTGAAGGAAGCAGGAAGTTTGTTTGGAGTGGCTGGTGCCCYGCATAAGGATCAGGGTGGTGAATAGGGACATGGTGCAAACTCAGAGCTGAGCTTGTGTCGAACTCCTCACTTTCCACAGCCTCTTGTAAGGTTTATTTCCTTAAATAAAGGCTGAGGCTGCACTTAATGTGTGTCAGAATACCAACCCAAGTGAGGATCTTTCCCCATTAGGAGGAAGAGGTGCAGAGTGGGACAAGGTGTGTGGGCAGGGCTTGCATTGCTGCCCCTTGTCCTGTGGCTCTCTGTGCAGAGGACAGTGACAGGCTGGAAGTTCAGCTCCTCTGGGCAGCATGCAGAGCTAACCCACATTAGACACTGCTAGAGGCTCTGTTAAAACAGAAATGTGGGATCCTGTAAATCATTGAAGGGAAGGGCTTTAAGGAATGACACTATATCAAAGCTCTGTACAGATTAGGCATAACGAACAAATTATACATACTTCTGAAACAGTCATTGCTGAGCACACTGTCTTCTCCACCCACAAGATTTACTATAAAAAGACCTCTGCAGATTGGTATGTCAGGCCTACAGATGTCAGTGTGCTTGATGGGGTAGAGACTGACAGTGATTCAGACAGGCTCTTACTTTTTTCTTAGTCTTTTTTTTGAGGGGGTTGCTTTTGTTTTAGCTGGGCAAGTCAGAGCCAGCCTGTCTCACACCAGGAAAGGGGGAGGTGGCACAGCTTCGGTGCTAGGGTGGTGTCCCACCAAGCCTGGTGGAGCTTGCAAGGGCAGAGAGCTCAYGTGTGTTACTGAGGGGAAGCTCTTCCTGAAGGCTGGACTCAGCTGGAGCACAGGCATTTCACCCTTAAATCCCTCCCMGCTGCCATCAGGTAATGCCCATCTCATTTCTTTCCTGCATCCTCCCCTGCAGATAACAACACGRTGTCTGAGCTGAGCTCATTGCACGAGGAGGACCTGAACTACCGTCAGCCTTACCGGCAGGGGCGCAGGAAACCTCTGCCCCCCGCGGGGGACATGGACGGCGACGCCGAGTACTGGGCAGGAGTCGTGGGTGGGGGCAGCGCCTCCAGATCACAGGCTGTGTCTGACTACAGGGATGAGCGGGACAGCTACTGGCACAGGTGAGGGACACCACCCTGCGGGGCTGCTCCATCTGGCAGAGTGGTAACTAAAGCAGAAGGGACAGATGGACTGGTAGCTCTTCCCTATTTCCTCCTCTTGTTCTGCTTAGCAGGAGAGAGGGRCTAGAGAGAAACAGGAAATCTGGAYATGTCATTAGATGAGGTCAGAATGAAACTGATTGCCMCAAGCCTGCTGAAGCCTACCCAGCTGGGTGAAGGTACAAGCTCCAGTCCCAGTGGGASGTAAAAGTGAGATCAATAGGGAACCCAGCCACCCTTCACAAAGTGGGAAAGTTCAAATCTTTCTGCTGAAATTTGTACCCGATTCTTCCAGCACTTCCCAATGCTGATGTGCTTTATTAGGAGTCACATCCTGGTCCTTTTGTGCAGCTAGACCTGTGCTCCAGGCCTAAGGACTCACACTGGTGCCTAGAGGAGGGATATCAGACCTTCCCAGTATCCCAAAAGCAACGGCAGGGATTTCCTTCCTTTACTACTGGGCTATTGTGCCAGTTCACCRTCTTTAAACCTGCTTCAAAACTGCCCTGCTGTGAGCTTCTGCAGCTGCTGGTTTTCCCAGCAGGATATAGATGTGCAAGCTCTAGGACAAAGGAGAAACAGGTCCAGCCCTGCACACTGGAGTACAGGGGATAACCTTGGGTAACATTAGACATGTAGAACCTGAGCTGTGTACACTAAGCTGACTTTACAGTCAGCAGAGGAACCTGGGGCTTCAGGGATGTGATAGATYTCTTCCTACGGATGAAAACAGCTCAGATGATTCATGGCCCTGGGAGGGCCCGTTTCCCTCCATTGTCCATGCAGGCAGCGAGGGGATGAGTGCAGCTGGATCTTGCCCTCTAACTCTCCCTCCTCCCTCTTCAGCCAGCAGAGATCCAAGTCAGAGATGCTGTCCCGTAAGAGCTTCTCGGTGGGAGTGCCGGCYGTGTCCATGGACGAGCTGGCGGCCTTTGCYGAGTCCTACAGCCAGCGGCCGCGGCGGGCGGACAGCCAGGACCTGCGGCGCTTCGAGCGCTCCGAGTCGCACGGCGGGCGCGGCGGGGGGCTGCCCCACCAGGACAGCTCCATGGAGGAATACTACACAAAGCGCTGCAGGGGCAACCGCGAGCCRCTGACGGACTCGGATCGGGGCTGGTCCTACAGCCCGCCCCGCAGACGGGCCCACGAGGAGAAGCACCTTCCCAGGCTGGTGAGCCGGACGCCTGGAGGCAGCCAGAAATACGATCACTCCTACCTCAGCAGCGTCTTGGAGAGGAAATCGCGGAGCTACGACGAGAGCGGTGACCACTGTGTGACCCCCTCGAAGCTGAGCTCGCAGCCCAGCCAGCGAGGAGGGAGCACRTACTACGCCTGGTCACCGCCCTCCACCTACAAAGCCGAGAAGTCACAGCCGCCACCGCAGCAGTCATCGTCCCCCGAGCAGGACGAGGACGAGGAGGACAGCCTGCCCCCCTACAGCGAGAGGGAGCTGAACCGAGGCCCTTCCTACAGGGCCAGGGAACAGGCCTACCTCAATGCCTCTGACAAGAAGAGGAAAAAGGACCCCAAGAAAACAGTGAGGCCATGTCTGGTGGTCCTGGTCCAAATAGGCTGAGCRGAGAGCACCAGGCAGGGGTTACTGAGCAGAGTTGATGGGCAAGGGGGCTTTCCAGGAGGGTAACACCTGGAGTCTGGGTGTCACTCTCCTTGGGAAGGGGAAAGGAAGGAACWCTGGGTGTAGGAAGCCAGGAAGGACAATAGCTCCTACATAGAAGTTCACGAAGGAGGGGAAAGCCAGATGTGCCCGGGACTGGGGAGATAAGGAATGTCTTCGGCATGTATGGCCTGGTGATCCAAGGTGGCCAGACTTTATCTAGTGTTCAGGAGAATATGGCAGGGAAGTTACCAGGGCTTACAGAAATTACAGGGCTTTGCTTTAGCTTTGATCCTGGTTAAGGAAGGTTGAGAGGCTCTTGTTCTTTTGGAAGTGAGTCAGGGTTGGTAGCAAGGGATGGTGTAAGAGACCCTTTCTGAAAGGGGTGAGATCACAGACTCCTGTGGGCTCAGGGGCCCRTGGACTCCTGTGGGGGCCATTTATGCCAAAGGCATTCCTCAGCCAGGATACCAGCAAGGGCAGAACATCCTGCCACAGTCCAAGCTACTGAGGGCTGATGGGTTCATGGTTGCTGGGGAAGGTGATCTCCCCCATCCACCACAGCTAGGGAAGTCTGCACCATGAGGGAGATTATCATTAGAGTAGCTTGGCCGTGGGAGAGAGGACTTGATTGTGCGCAGACAAAGCTGTTGCTGTTTAGTTGTGTCTCTGTCAAAACTCTGTCTGTCCCTTTGTCTGCTCCARTAAGTGCTTTTCTGTTGACATTTAATCTTCTCTCTTTCCTCTCAGAATGATTTCCCAACAAGGATGTCCCTTGTGGTTTGAAGTTGTTGTGGACCTGTCATGTTGATGGGCTGGATATCATGAGGTGCCTGCAGTGGACACCATGCAGAGCAACAAGCAAGACAAGCCTCTGTGAACCTCTGCAGCCATCAGCCATGGACAGTTTCAATTGTTTGTTTCATCGGGGGGAGCAGAGGCTTTTGTAAGAGACAGACTCCCATGGACAGCGCTTGATCTCAGAGGCTCTGCCAGGAGAATGAGGCCGGGGCTCTGTTTGGCACCCTGTTTTCCAGTGCCCTCCATTCTGCACTGGATGGCAGCCACGTCCCTACTGCCCCTGCAGCCCTGAACTATAAGTGAGGCTGCCTTTGTGCCTCCTGCCCTGTCTCATGTGCAGAGGGAGGCCTATGTACCTCTTGCTCTGTCTCCTCAGTTCTCTGTTGGGATCAAAATTGTCTCCATACTTAAAACCTTTTCTGTATCAMCCCCATGCTGGGAGGAGGCCTTGTTCTTACAGCTGCAGACTGCCTCCAGCTGATCAGGCCCTAAATCATGAAAGAAAATCTACAYCCTTTCTGACACTCTAAGAAAAGGACTGATGAGGTGTTACCTTGATAAGGGCTGAATGGGGAAGGAGACAATTATGAGCTGGTTTGTTCAATATATTTAGTTCTGTTCATTGTGTGATGAGAGTTGCAGGTGAGATTGATGTATTGTTTTAAAAGTGGGTCAAAGTAGCTTTTACTGTGATGAGAGCATGAYTTGTTTCCCCCCTGCCCTCAACTGTGTTTTGTTTTGATGCAGTTGCATTTCCTTGTAGCTGAACTGTAACCCTGTAGAGCTTCAAGCTGGAGTATCCACTCCTGCTTTTTAAAAGCACGGTTCTAGCATTCCTAGTGCTCTGCTTCGAGCACTACCAGACACCTCTGTCACTCTCATGAGTGGCCTTTTTGTTTCAAAGAAGCCAAAAGGGAACAGTCTCAGTGAGAGGGCAGCTGCACACCTTCATTCTGTGCCACTGGTATCACTCCTTTCTGGGAATTGTTGCCAGGCACTAAAGAGAGCGGTAACAGCAGTGGGAAAAGAATTAACATTGTGGATGGACACAAGCTTTGCAAGTCACCCTTTTCACTTAAAACCATTTCATTCCCTTTGGCTGGGATGTGGTTTTAGTGGCTGTTGTCTCAGGAATAGCTTTATTTGGAAGTGAGCGCTTCCCACCATTTGGAAGCCTGACATTCTGGTTTTCATAGGGTATTATGCAGTCATTTATTTAGTGAGGGAAGATGATGGGAACATTTTAAGGTCCAGGATCTTGATCCCTGTTACATCTAGAAACAACTTAGTGCCCTGTTGTGTTACAGACATTATCAGTCTCTGAAATGACATCTTTGTTGTTCCTCTGGGAATTTGAGAAGCTGTCTGGCCTCAGGTGCTCATACTGGCAGTGCCATTTGGAACACAAGGTATATTAACATCACTACAATTCTCCATAAAAATGATAGATTATAACTTCTGTGCTACTCCTTTGCCAGATAGTTCACCCACCAAGAATGGTCAAGGGAGAGGAAAAATAATCTCCATAGATCTGATGAAAGTTTTCATGCAAGAAGGTAGATTGGTGACAGGATGGCTCTTCTCCCACACTCCTCTAGTGATTACTGTAGTTTTGGAAATCCCAGTCCTGGGTCTTCCTGGCCAAAGAGGGATCAGCCAGCAGGAACATATAGCTGTGGAATGGCAGAATTGTCTGTGCAGGAAGTAGCCTTTAAAAATCATCTAGCCTTTTGCCATGGGCAGGGACATCCTCCACGTGTCAAGTTGCTCAAAGATCCATCCAACCCGATCTTAAACACTTTTAGTGATGGGACATCTGCAGCTTCTCTGGGCAACCTGTTCTCATAGTGAAGAATTTCTTCCTTGTATCTAATCTAAAATGACCCTCTTTTAGTTGAAAATCAATGCCCTGGTAAAAAGCCCCTCTCCAGCTGTCTTAAACCTTTAGGCACTGTAAGGCTGCTCTAAGGTCTCCACAGAGCCTCTCTTCTCCAGRCTGAACAGCCCCTTCTCTCTCAACCTGATTTCATAGAAGAGGCGTTCCAGCCCCTCTCACCACTTTTGTCTCTCTCCTCTGGACCTGCTCACCAGCCTTTGAGCTGGTGRCCCCAGAATTGAACTCAGTACTCTGTGTGGGGTCTCAAGAGAATGGAGGAGAGGGCAATGCCACTCTTTGACCTGCTGGACACTCCCCTGATGCAGCTCAGGATATGGKTGGCTTTCCAGGCTGTGAGAGAATGTGACTGCCTCATGTCCAATCTTCATCTACCACTATAAAATCATAGAATTGTAGAATGGTTTGGAAGGGACCTTAAACATCTTCTAATTCCCCAAGTCCTTCTCAGGGCTCCCAGTCCATTCATGCCCCAGTCTGTGTCAGTACCAGGGGTTGCCCTGACTCAGGTGTAGCACTTCACACTTGGCTGTATTGAACGTCATGAGGTTCTCATGGGCCCACTCCTCAAGCCTGCCCCAGGGTCACTCTGGATGGCATCCTTTGCCTCCAGTGACTCCAGGGTGTCACTCAGCCTGGTGTCACCCACAAACTGCTGAGATGGCACTCAGTCCCACTGTTTGTGGCATTAATGAAAATTGAACAGTGTCTTAGTACAGGCCCTTTTGAGTATTTTCTCATCATTAATGTGTGTTCCTAGGAAACTCACAGCACAGTTAGGAAGAGGTGGGCAGGTGGCTGCCATCTGAGGTCTTGGAAGCCTCGAGAAGTCTAAGGAGCTACATTACATGCTATTTTGAAACATTTAATCTCTGAGGATTCTAGCAAGTTGATGTTTTGTTAGTCTGAAAACCTTGGCAAACCCTTGAATTTCAAGGGAGCTTAGCCTGCTATCATTTCCATCAGACACCCAGCAGACCCAGGAAACGGCTGACASAGAAATTTGAAAGTGCATCAGACTGCCAGAAAGGGGCCAGACCAGTGATTTTACAGTCTCTGAATACCTCAGTCTTTTAAATCATACTGAAAGCCTGAGCACTACAATCTTCTCATTTCAGTAATGTTCTGTCCCTTATCTCAGTCACTGTAGTTCATTTGATCAAGCCCTCAGGAATGAGTTGTGTGTATTTAAAATACAAGTCTTCATTTTTTTGAGTCAGTTTTGTTTGTTCAGCGCTGGTACTTTAGGGCATCTGTACACTGTGTGTAAGAAGTTGCCATTTGTGTATCTAGCTTATAAATAAGTAGTTGCAAGCTAATTCTTGTAAGAAATCGTTTTAATTGTAGAAACAACTGTTTGTGAGAACTTGAAACATCTCTTGAATCCCAGTACCTGGAAAAGTATTGAAGATTTTATGACTAGTGATTCTATGGGTTTTACCAGATGATAAAAGTTTCAACTGCAAAAAAAAGAGGAGGTCTTACTTTTCTGAATTCAGGTCTGGGCAGCAGCAACCTYCCTCTAAAATTGTAAATTTTGTATCTCCATGTACAAATTTGCAGGAATTTTCAGTTACTGATCATGTCTGTCCTCAGGCCATCTTTATTTTTCCCATTAGAAATCTGTCTGCAGCAGCAGCAAATGGACCRAATCAAGAAGTGAGGGGTGACCTAGAGCATCTGCACAGCTACACAACCCTAATGACCTGTGACTCCTGCAGCAGGGGAGCAGGGGACCAGAGGCTGACAGATAGCTCAAGAGGAGCCTCATGTTTCAGGAGAGAAGTAATGGTTTGTGTCTKTGCCACCTTTCAGAACACCTGCAGAATGCTGGCACTGGGAAATGATGAGCCTGGTTATTATGTGGTTGCAAATTATAAGTTTTCCAGTGATCAATTTTTATTGCTGGCATAAAATTAAAATCTTTTTTCTTACTGGATGTGGATGTCTGGGTCATGCCAAGGATATRGAGAGTTTTGTGGTCTTAAAATCACAGCATCTCAATTGTGACTTGCTRTGAAAACAGATGATGAGAGAATCCTGTATAAATTTAAAAGAGCCCCTAGAATAAAAGCTGGATCAAGCACTAGCAGTAGATTTGACTGTGCTGTCAAAAAAAGTGATCTTGGCTACTGAAAAAAAGAAGTTTTGACATAATGGAATGGGAAAATAAATACCAGTGGTAATGACTTCTCATCAGTCCCATTATTCTTTTAAAGTACATTGTAAAAGTTCCAGTGGGTGGCTTCAGTGTGAACATCCTCAGAACGCTCCATTTCCACTCAAATGGAAAATTAACAAAATTAACACTTTGAATACTTARTATTTTTGAGAAACTCCCAACATTTATAAGCTGAAACAGGCAGCCAGAATTASTCAGGTCTTTGTGCTAGCATATGGTACCAGGGACTGGGTCTGTACCATCCCCACSTTTGTTCCTGCAGTTGGGTCAGGGGTGGCCATCAGCTGTGCACCCCAGAGCTGCATCTCAGAGATAAAGGACAGCCCTGGGACAGACCCCCAAGAAGGAGCAATCACAAAATATTTCAGAAGTCAAACCTTGCCACAAACGGTTCCAGGTATGTAAACACAGCACCGTGGTGTTTATCATTCTGAAAATAGTTTTAATGACATGGAGATTGTTGAGAAACTGCATGGAGCTGTCTTTTTCTCCAGGTAGCTTTCACACAAAATGTGGCTGAGGATCCATTCTGTCAGTACAGGGTTTGGGACAGGTGGAAATAAATAAAGGGCTTTAGCTCATTTTTTTACTGGGTCCAGAATAAAGATACCTTTGGCATAAGCCAGGCGGTGCAGGGTTGAACCAATGATTCCGTAAATATGGTGCAGCATCTCCATCAGGCTCTACTGACTGTACATGCTTTCTACAACAGCTGTGATGTTGAAACCACCCTAAAGTCACCCGGGGCTTCTCAAGTCCCTTTCCCATTGCCTGGGAGATCAGAAAAGGGATCCATTACATAATGTTAGGGAACAGCTATCATTTTAATATGATCTCAGAAATGCCAGCTGGATTTACCAGCATCAGAAACAGCAAAAAAACTGAAGTTAGCTAATACTGAAGGAAGGAACRTGCCACGATTCCCACATGAATTCTCTTGTGACCTTTATAATTCTTTGAGACATTCACCCCTGCCTGCACAGGGGCCTTTGCCAGGGGAGGCCATCACCTCCKCTCCCTTTTGCCTGTCATTTTTTGTCATGCTTGTAAAGCCTCTCTGACCCCTCTGCTTTCCTTTGGCTATTTCCAGTCAACCTTCCGTGTGGTGCCCAGGGGTTCCAATCAGTTTGGATGTGGAATGAGTGGCATTTTGTAAAAAAGGCATTTTTACCCCCTCTGAAAGCAAAAATTACAGAATGCCCACAAAACCCCAAGCCCTCCAGATATTCTCTCAAGCCCAAGCAGGGGTTTTATGGGAAACATTTTAAAAACTGAAGCTGAACATAATTTCAAATCGAGTCAGTATTGTTTTCAACCTCGGGGCAGCTGCAGTCAGAGCTGTGGAGTGCAAACAGCAGGAGTAAATGCACTCAGGTTCCATTGTTCTTGGTGAGAGCAGTGGCAGAGGGAAGCAGCACTTAATGAGTCAGAGAGCAAAGGGAGTTCCAAGGTGCTGTTACTTACGTGTGAGTTAGAAGTGTGAACTAGAAGTTGACAGGCTGGGCTTAAAAGCAAAATTCAGTCCAGGGAAGCTTGAGCCCTGGCCCAGGGGTGCAATCCTCTTGCTGTTCACAGATGAGCTGGGCTTTTTTCCTGCCTCTGTTGCTGCCTGCCATAGCCATTCCCCAGCCATTTCACAGTGACTGAGTGGCTTTCTTTGCTGCTGTTATTTTACTTAAATTGCRCTCCCCTGTAATGAACTTTTTTCAATATGAGGGGGAGAAGGACGTAACAATACTCTATAATGAAAATGTAACACTTTTATGGCTTTTTGAGACACATCCACATCCCCAATTACCAAGCATTATACATTTGCCATGCGTACAGTATTGAAGTCGTTGCTTTTGAGTTGTCACCATGGAGAATAAAAGCAGGAAAAGCWACCACCAATCTGCCTTTTTATTATCCTGCAGGCAAATAATTTGCCCGATTTTTGCTAAGAAATGAGCAGTTTACATGAGTAGTTTTCAACCCATTTTTTTGATTCATGAGCAACAAACCAAACATTTTCCAGTGGAGCAGCAGACCCCTCATAAATCTCATGCCATTCACAGGGTAACATAAAGTTCTTCCCAGCCTCCTTTCATACAAGTAAGTACCCCATGGAGCCACACTCCAGAGAGAGGGTAAACTGTCTCCTGGTTTTGCAGACCTATTTTTTTTTATTTTATTGAGAAAATGTTTATCCTTTTACTGCAGTCGTGTTCTTTCTTCTGGGACTTCTTTGACCTTAGGTCTGCAGTACTCTGGACTGATGGTTTTTGTCTCGTAAACAACCAACTTCATTCGGATCCTCYCTCCACGTTGTAAATAATGGGTTAAGACTCACACTGCAGGTGTAACCTGAACAGCATTTACATGTTTATATCGTGTCTGATAGGTGTTATCAGCAGTCAGGTGCAGGAGAAGCACTCACAGATCACAGCTCTGCTCTGTATTTCCCTGTGCAAGGCACATCATCCCCTGGCTCTGAAAATGGTCCCTCATCCTCTGTTTTACCACCTGTGAGCGTGCTCAGTGTTTCTTTGGGCTTTATCATTCCTCTATCCCTCCGTGCTCCCCCTCTGCAGAGTCTCCAAACCAACATGGAGCAGGAAAGGTGCCCATCCCTACCTTGATGATTAACAAGAGTCAAGAACACCTGACAGCAGAAACAGAGAGGTCACCCAGCYCAGAGCTCTGCAGGAAGTCACTTCTGGGTGGGAAATGGTTTGAGCCAGCAAGGCAGAAGCCAGAGGTGCCCTGCAGCTCCCACTGTAATTYCTGGTTACACCTCACACAGGGAAGGCTCTTCTGTGCCCAATCACAGTTATCCATGAGCTCTTGGCTGTAGGTACAGGTTAGTGATTCAAGGCCATTTCTGAATTATAGAAATGAGTCTGAAAAAAATGCCTAAAATGGCATAGGATCGTTTATTACAGCAGGTGTACTGTTTGCATTTAGTCCCTGCTGTGTGACAGAATATCCTTTCTGCTTGCATGTAAAATTGGTTTCCATCAGCTCCCCAGAGCAGGTGGGAGTGATTTTCATGTCCCAGTTATCAGATCATCTCTTTGAGCAGCAGATCACTCCGTGCACTTGTCTCTGAATAGGTTCTCCAGGGTAGTGAGAGGCAGAGCTCCAACTGGTTGCATTTTACACTCAAGAGCCTACTAAATGATTAATTAATTTAGTCTCTCAAAGCTCTCTGCTTCCTGGCAAAACCAGAATATGTGTTTCTACAGGCCTCGGTCCACTCACCTTAGAATTACAAGTTTTGGTGAGGTTGCTAACATCCAGTAAGGCGAAGACVAGGTAAAACAGTAGCACAAAAATCTAAAAGCTTTGTGTAAAGTGTGTAAAAGATGTGTAAAGTGTGTAAAAAGTGTAAAGATACACTGCCCACTGCCATGTCCTTCCTAAGTATCAGTATTTGTCATTACCACACTTATGTGCCAGTCACAGCTGCTTGTATCAGCACAGTCAAGTGCTCAGGATTTCTGAGAAAGTAAAACTACTCAAATTTGTAASACCACAGTGCATACACACCCCCCAGTGCAGCTGATTTACAGAGACTGCAATGTGCAATTCTGGCAGCCAGAACCAATGGATGCAACTTGGAACCTGTATCAGTGTGGAGCTGAGCTGCCAAGGCTCAGAGAGAACTTGGTCCCATGCACAAATAAGTCTTCACCCCATGAACAGAGTGACAGAACTTGTGTGGGTAGCAGCCTCTCTGAGCCTAAGGTATGTTTTAATTAGTATTTGGGGAGGGAAATGGTGAAATGTGTTTGGGTTTATGTATTTTTTAAAATAGAAATATTTATATATATAAATTTTTGTCTTCACTTCTCAGAAGGGAGATCTGAGGGTGCCTTCTGTCCAGGCCAATATGGTGCCTGAATGGAAAATTTCACTCCTCAGTTTCAGTAAAATGCAGTCTAGGCTGGTTCTTGTGAGTAGCTGTAAAAGGAAAGTTATTGTAGCAGAGCTCTGTAATCAAGAGATCTCCATAGACAGCCTGTCATCCTGATGAGAGACACTTCTTAATTAAGAGAAGATGCTGCATTGTAGATGAAACAATTCCTAAGTGTACCAACTTCTCTCATCATATCAATGAGCCTGGAGTTAAAGAGCTCCCAACAACAAGGGGTTTTAGAGGATTTCAAGAGAATTCTAAGTCTTAAAAGTTCAACACTCAAGCAAGTGCAGCATGCAGAGAACACATTTCAAAAAGTGTTTGAAGAGCAGAAGCCTAGTTTCATACTGCTTCAAAGCTCTCTGAAAGGCAGAGTGTGGATAGCATCCCAAGTGTTGCTGAGGAGATCTGAGATCCACGCACTGYTGTGAAAAGCTCAACTTTATCCGCAACCAAATCAGTAAAGAAGCTGCCCTTACGGCTGAGCTTAACTGATTTCCTGTTTAAGCATTAATGTTTAAATCAATTACACTGATTTCATGATTAAACTTGTTCAGGTTAATCAGAAAAACAAAAAATTCATGGTCAAAATAGTGGACAAACTGCTTAGGTGAATAAAGGAGAACACGTGTTTGTGAAGCAGCCGGTAGGGAGAGCCTGGGAAAGGGAAACAGCTGCCTGCAGATTAACACTGAATCCAAGCCAAGTGAAGGGTAACACGCTGGTGTGCTTCAACAAGTGTCAGCACAAAAATGCTGCATGAACATCAGTCATCTTACTCAGCTGGTTAGGACCCTTGGGTTATGTCCTACACCCGTCTGTAATACAGCCCCGGAGTGAACCCGGTTGCTGCCTCTGCCCATCTGCTCTGCATAAGCTATTAGTGTACTATATTCTATGTATAGGATATTCTGGAGCAGAATTGTCTGCCACAGCCCAGGTTCAGTCACTCTGACTGCCAGCTGAACAACGCTGCCCAGAGGGGCACTTGCAGCAARAGCTACAAGTGAGAAGACCAGGCTACAGGGTGCACCAAAGCCAACATGTGGCCCAGGCCACTGGTTAGGTGGCAACCTGGCATTTTTAGAACAGGACAGCCAKCCCTCTGAGAAGTCATGCAGAGATGCAGGCAAGACCTCACAGCAGTTTTGGCTGCCATTTCTGGAAAGAGGCTGATCTCAAAATTACCCGACGCCTGCTCTTTCTGTACCTCAATGAGTGACTAAGAGTGCCCAGCAGCAGGTTCTCCATGTGCCTACTTTGGAAAACAAACAGRAACAGCATTAGAGCAAAAGAGTTCACCTGGGCTAATACTGCCTGGCTCCCGTGCCCCTGGCACCTTGTACTGTGCAGATGTCACCATCCTGTTCTTGACCTTGCTCTCTGCATTCCACAAACGTACACAGTTGGCTGACGCTCCAGCTCTGAGGCAAGAGACATCTTTTCAGTCAGTTTGTGGGGGCAGAATTACCCTTCAGAATAAGTACATATTTTGGCATCAGCATGTGCAGCAAGGACACCATAGAAATGAATTGTAGTTTCCATTCTCTGGTGGCAATGGATGCCTTTCTGATGGGGCTGGGAGTGCAGCAGCAACCAAGGCAATGTGTCAGGCTTTTTCAGGCCTAGCCCTTCTTAGAAACATTAAAAAAAAGGAAGAAAGAAAAGCAACAAACATCTTAAATGATGTGTTTCTTCGGAACTAACAACAATACTGGCCACATTATTTATTTCTTATTTTTGGCCTGTCTGYTCTCTGACTCCAAGCCTCTCAGTCGTACATTTCTAGCCTGTGGTCTAGATTGGATTAATGGAGTTTGGAATCAACTCTCCAAAGTCTGTAATTTAAAAAGCATGGATCATCTTATAGATCTTAAAAGTACAGCCATGTGAACACTTAGTCAGCTCAGCTGTATTAACTGAAGCTCTTGGAAAGAAGGTGGGAGTAGAGACCAAATGACTTAAACCAGCTTTCCTGCCAATGGAGCAAAAACCTGTGCCCTTTGTGGCAGCAGCTGGTGGCTAAGGGAGGGATGGATGTGTCTGCATTACTCAGCCAGTAATTCCAGTCATATTCTGGTCACAGCTTGCTTGTTTTCATGGTATCCTGTGCTCTTCACGCTGGGCATTCTCTTTGCCCTAGGTGATCTTTCCCGTTTGGGAGCTCACCCCCATGTGAAAGCTCACCGTTTGCATCGTGTGTGGGGCTGAAAATGAAAATTCTGCAGCACAACAGATTTGATGGCTTCATTTTCTCGCCTGGAGCACACTGTGATTTCTTCCCCTGTTTGTCTTCGTGGGTGGAACAGGCATTTCAGTATATACTGCCACGCTCATTACAGGCAGTTCTTCCACGCTAGAGATATTAACATCTTTGTTATTACTGCCAGTTCCCTCCTCCTCCCCCGTACCAAGCGGTCGCCTGAGCTAGAATTCCTGCTAAGGACAGGCTTCCAGTAGTAGTATTCTCCTCCTCAGAGTGAAGAASATCTCTTCAAAGGTCAGTTCCTTCTGCTTTCTCAGAATCCTGCCTCCCTCATGTTCCTTAGAAAGTCATTATTAAAACTGTCAAAACCACTCACAAGAAATACTGCAGAAATTCTCAGAATCAGTTGAGAAATCATAATTACCTCTTTGTAATCATGAACAGCTCAAAACTGTAGTGTTTAAATTAAAAGTTTTATGGAAGAAAGAATGCTTAACATTTAATATAAAATCAATTTGACACAGCTTATTTTTCAAATACCATCAATTTTCTGTTCATTTTTAGTTAATCGGACAATTAAAACACAATTGAAAAAGTCATCCTAAATACTTYTAAAAGCCTTATAAAAACATTCATAAAGTGCCACCCACAAAAGCACCTGAACACGACTCTGAGAGAAATACCTATTGGATGTTAATTTACTTAACTGCTGCTTAGAACTGAGCTGTCAGACAGCAGCTTCATTTGTGGAATTGTCAATTTAACAATGACACAACCCAGTGAACACACTGTTCCATAGACATGGCCCCAAAGCAGCTTCAGCTGGGCCCAAAACATGCACACAGAGGCACCCAGCACAGTGCTGCAGGGATTTCAAATAAATAGATGCAAACACCCTCTAAAAACAAGACKACTGGCACATGGGAGACGTGGATTCAATGGGAACCAGTCATCCCAGGCTGTGGCCTTACTGTGAAGGAAAATGCAGGAAGCTTGGGCAGGAAACAGGTACAAATTTGAGCTGGTTTTTCCTGGGATAAAAATCACTCCCCACTAGAAGTAACAGCAGGAGACACGGATCCTTGGAACATCTCTAGGTTCTCTCTGGCCCTGAAAGTAACAAAAAGCAAAGGAAGAAAAGGAAGGGGACAGGCTCTGAGTGCACTCTCTCCAAAAATTCATGTCCCATACAAGGTGTCCAGGGAGCAGTTTTATGGAAGTAAATGGAAGACAGGGAGCAAATGGAAACCCAGCTGGAGAAGCTCTACAGCCTCATCACACAACCCGGGGCAGATGTGCCATGAAGAGCAGAGCCAGGGCAATGCTACAGGTGTCTTCTTGTCCCCAAAAAACCTTCACATGTTCTTAATATTCCCTCCTCCTACACACCCTTAACCACAGGCTGACAAAGGCAAGCAGGCTGCCTGCCCCGAGGGGRAAAGAGCAAGTCTCAATGTGACCTGCATAAAATAAAGTGGCTGAAACAGCACTGAGGCAGCTCAAAGAGCATTTCACTTGCTGTGTTTATAAACTTACATTACTTGTTCCTCACCATTTGTGTCTCCTCCAAGGCCTCGTATTCTTGTTCTTCTCCTTGGTCCATCTGCGCAGTTACATCAGGTTCAGCAACCAGGAACCCTTCCTGCAGGAGCAAACAAAAGAAATCCTTACTGAGTATTCAGCAAGACTTTGTCATATTGTCTTAAAAACCACTGCCCCTACTGAATAGAGTAGTAGAACAGAGTGGTTACGTAAAGGAATGGAGTCAATTGAGCAACAAACATTGATGAACATCCTCCGCACTGCTCAGATATGTGGTGTCAGATATTTTCCTTAAAGGGGACCCAAGGTTGCCCCTCTTCTGGTAAGTGATACACATTAGGACATGCACCACATGTGCTGGGCTCAGAGCTGTCTGACTGTAATCATAGGTACAGGTGTCAGAAAAGAGCAAAMCCCAGCTGTACTTACACTTCTTCAATAATGACAGCCAGAAGTCTAATTACTCTGTTAAAAGCATTTAAAATAGATTATTTTTTATACAGTGGAACCTGATTTTCGTATTTGCTATCTCATCTCTTCTTCCTCCTCCCAGACTCTCAGACTGAGGCAGAAAAGCCCAACAAAAAAGCAATCTGATATCTTGTCTACTTTAGCTGGGTTCTGTCAATTCCCAGCCTGGCATTCCTGCTGGGCTCCAACAACCACTGTGAATGCAACAGTTGGTCAAGGTGCCCTTAAAAATGCCATCAACACCCAAGACAAGAATTTTTCTGTCAGTATTTACTATTTTGAGGCCAAAACCAGCTAAAAAACAAGCAACAGCAGTTAACGTCAAGAAGTGTGGCATCTGCAGAAAAAAAAAGGCAGAACAAGGAAAATACAATAGTAAGAAACATCCCACTTCATTTTAAAAAGTAAGAATCAAAGATACAGGAAAGGATACCAGGGGGATAAATCTGGGACCAGAGAATGACGTGCACCACAGCTAAAGCTGAGATTATTCATGGGAATATTTTAAAGGCATTTAGGGCTTTACTTCCCCCCAACACCCTTTTAGTCTTTAGAGTTGTTTCCATCGCCTCAGAGGTGCTGCACTCTGCTTCAAGCTACCAATCTCTCTGAAGAACCAATATCTCTGAACAACTACTCAAACTCTAGATGGAACTGACTTACTGGACAGATGAGCAAAATACTGCAAACTGACGAGTGCTCAACACACTTCATTCACCAGCAACTATTTAATGATGGATAATGGGCAATAAGGGATTGGATAATGTCAGGATCAAGGAGACAGCTCAGATGAACAGAACAGTTTTGGACCTCAGATGCCAGGGATTACAAAACCACCAGTCTTGAAGTCTTTATTCTCCATAGCAAAGCTGGACAGAAGGAAAGTGAGTTAGCAGAAGAGAAAGGCTGCAATTGTGAGCTGCAGAATCACAAATAAAAAAATAAACAGATGAGCAAAAAGGAAGCTTTGGCAAAAATAAAGCGCCTTAGTCGAGTCCCTGCTTCATGTATTTCCTGAATGCTGAAGTGGACCACCCTGCAGATGGATTTTTTAGCCTGCTTTACGTGCTGCAAGGTGCACCAGATGGGCAGCCCCCGCTCCAGAGACGCAGTCTGAACCATGTCCACACACAGACATTTCCCTCAGGCAACTCACCACAAACACAGAAGGGTTTTGCTCTGAAAGCTGTCAACAAACAGAAACTTTGGAGGAGCAAATCCATCGGCATTTCAGAGGTGGTACTGGCATTTGACAAATGCCTGACAACCACTGCCCCAGGGAGCATCTCAGAAGGCAGAGAAGGCRGAAGAGTTTCCTTCCGACCCTGCAAAAACGTCCTAGTTCAGGTTGGCACTGACACTGCAGCTATGCTCAGATTTGCTGTGGCAGAAAACGGGTAAATTCTATACAGCCAACAGGGCAGTCAGGAGGAAGACAGAACTTTTTCCGTTCCCAGGATCACAGTCACGTCTCTGRGAAAGGAGGGCACAAACTGCATCAACAGAGGGGACATTCCTGCAGAGRTCTCATCTGTTACTAGCAGAAGCACATCCTTGGGTGTATTGAGCTGCTCCTTCAATGTGAAAACAGGAAGAGCATCTGTGCACTTAGGGCTCCTGTAGGCAACATCCACAGCTTTATTCACACAATGTATTGTAAGGGGGTACCCAATGTGGGCCTCCTCAGGTAGGCTGTGCAAACAAACTGCTGTTCCCAGGGCCTTGGCTTTAGTGTTGCCATAACCAGTTTCTATATCTGGATCCTGCAAGGTACTCTCTTTACCTCGGCTACTCATTTTCTCTGCTGACCACTCATCTCTGTATTCCTGCCATGTGTGTGGTTTATGGGACTCATCCCAGTGCAGAGCTCCACGCTTTCAGCTTCCCGTGCTCCTGACCTGCCACCAGCAGCCCAGCGCCCTCCCCATGGTTTTGCCGGGCACGTTCAAATCTTCCTCTCCACAGCTATTTTTTTGCGACAGATAATGCCTGAGGTAAAATCAAAAGGTGGGGACTTTTTAAAAAAATGTGTTCTTAAATGACAGAAAGCGTTTAATTGTGCAGCTGCAGCCATCGGTGTGGAGAGCCCCTTCCCTGCGCTGTCACATCTGATCACACACCACAGTGGGGTGACAAGAGGCAGAACGGGGAGGCCGTGACAAGGCTGTGCCACAGGCAGGAGGGAACAAGGATTTCCCACTGAGCAGGGGTGCAAAGCTGGTGGGATCAGCGGCACTGGGTGGGATGTGGGGCAAGACACGCGTTTGCTCTGCGGCGGGAGGACGGGGCGCACGGGGGGCGGCGGCGTTAAGGGCAAGGGATGCGAGCACAGAGGGACGGCAGCGGCACAAGGGACAAGCTGGCCCTCCCTGCCCGCGGCACTCAGAGGCTCTGCGATGGAAGGGGGGGGGTCAAAACCCGGCCCCGGCTCCCTCAGCCCCCATTCCGGCGGGCGGGGAAAGCGCTCAGCCTACCTACAGGGCTGCTCCCGCCGCTCCCGCTTCCTGCTCCGCGGGCAAAGGGCGCTTCCTGGGCGGGGCGGCGGYGGCAGCGAGSCGGGAGAGTCCYGGGGAGTTCCYCCTGCRCCGGGWTAACCCCCCGCTGTACCGGGATAACCCCCCGCTGTACCGGGATAACCYCCCGCATCCCCGGGATAACCTTCCCGCAGCCCCACCGCCCCGATTCAGCGTGAGCAGTAATGAATTCCTCACCGTACAACTCGTGCCCAGTAGATAAAACTGAGAAGTTCCTTGGAAGTGGGGCCAGTCTGGGTTCAGGAAGGGGGTCTGGCATCCCTAGGTATTGTGCATCACTTTCCCCCCCTTTCCCTTTATATTATCATTATTATTTGTCATTATTATTATTATTATTATTATTATTATTATTATTATTATTATTATTATTATTATTATTATTATTATTATTATTATTATTTTACCTGGGTTTCAGTCATAAAACTGTTCTTGCCTCAACCTAAAAGTTTTACTTTTGATTGTCCTTCCTATTCCTCTGGGCTGAAGAGTAGAGAGGTTGAGCAAGAGGCTGCGTGGTGCTGAATTTCCAGCTGGGCTTAAACCACAGAACAGCAGGAGCTGTGACATCGCGCTGCCAGGCTCAACTTAGGGCAGAAGGGAAAGCGGCTGAATCGGGGGTGTAAATACTTATCAGTGGCAGAAAACAGGACACACTGCAGTTCCTGTGAGGACACCACGCTGTGCGAGGTGGGAGAAGAGATAGGAAGTCACTGTTCCGGAATTGCTTATCTTACCTGGAGTTTCCCCAGCGGAATGGAATGTACACACGTTTTTACAACGTGGTACCTGCTCCTCCTGATTTCTCCAGGAGGGAAGAAGGGGTTTGACTCTGCATGTTTTCATGAAATGCGGTGGAAAATGTGAGAGCTGTGGGGCGTGCTTGAGTTCACACGCTGATGTTGGAGGAGTTCTCCGTACACAGCAGGAGCATAGCAAAGAGTTTTCTTAGGCGTGGTGACACTCGGATTTCTCTGCCACCTTACCCGAGCACYGTGAGCGGGTTTGCAGACAGAGGAAGCCACCCTGTGGCCACAGGCAGGAGACAGCGGATGGGTTTCCCGCGGCCATAAAAACCGAGTTTCTTTTCACCTTGGCCCCTGAATTCCACCTGATGAATACACTGCCTTTATGGGTGATGGTTTTGCTCCTGGGTGATAGTACAGAAAATCAGACAGCCTTTCCAGGATCTAAAGCACCCCAGTACGTAGTTTGTGCTTGGCAGTGGTACAAAACAGGTTGGCCCTGAGATGAGGCCCTACATGATGACAAAGAATCTGAAAATCTTTCCTGCTAACAGAAGTAAAAAATACCCTGAAAGCCTCCAGATTCCCTTTTCACTCCAAGCTATTGTTAGCAGGACACAAATGATGTGAGTTAGTCAGCAACCTTAGTCACYGTGTGCCCTGAAGTGTATGGAATTGCAGTAAGAGACAAATGAACCGGGTTTGGTGTCATGCTSAGGCTCTGTTTGTTAAGGTTAAGATACAAATTTGCATTAAAGAACTTTTCTGTTGGAAAACTGATGGCTGATACAGGCTCATTAGACTGTGTACAGATGGAGAAATAGTCATCAACAAAATAAAATTGGAATAGTGAAATAGAAAGGGGAAACATAACCCCATCAGTTGATACAACAGTGCAGCTGACAGGCACTTCAGTGTWTCCTCGGTGTGCTTCCACTGTGCAGCACATTTGACTAAAAGTGTGGGGGGCTGGRGATCACCGTGTTCACAGTCAAGGTATAAATGTGTGCAAAAGGATGAAAAGGGAAGCTGGCTGGTTCCTGGATCTCCATCACTGGAGGTTTTTGAAGTGTGGCCAGACAAAGCCCTGCCTGACCTGATCTGGTGCTGGTGATAGTTCTGCTTTGAGCAGGATTGGATTCCAGAGGTTTCTTCCAAATAACATTCTGTGTATTATTTCAACAGTTGCCGAACYATTACAGACATTTTGAAATGTGAGAACTCTTTTATGTCCCATACTGTCTCCATCCTGCAGACAGTTCAATAATTAAAAGTTGGCAATTCGGGAGAAATCTTCAGTAAAAGATCTGGCTGTCTTGAAAATGCATAAAGCAACAAACTGTACAAAATGGATAATGTCACTGTATTTCAAGGAAAAGGGAAAGAAGCAAAGTATTTCCAGGTGGATATAAATGGCAAGCAGCATTTACTAGATCACTATTAAAATAAAACTGCCTGAATCTTGACAGATGGTATAAAAAAAAGTTCTTGCATTTCAAAATACCCGTAATAGTTCAGAAACACCACCATGTCAAGCCTTGGCTCCATTTTTTACTGCATCAGAACAATTTCAGTGTTTGATTACTTTGAACCTCAACTGGCTTGTGATTTAACAGCCACCTTTCCTTTTTTTTTTTTTTTGTTTTGTTTTGACAAGGCCAATATATCAATTTTTAAAGGCTCTGTTCTTTTCGTGTTAGAAGTATTTTGTCTTTAAAAAGTCCACAACGCTTAAATAGTTGAAATGACCAAACCTCCATGCTGGGGAAAAGCAATGAAAAAGCCTTGCTGGGAATGACAGAATAAGGAGAAGTTCTGAACTATTTTTCCATTTTGCAGTAAGCTCTAGCTAGTCTTAACCTTTGCAGTTCTCTTGGTATTGTGATGCTGAAAGGAGCACCATACCTACCCAATAGCTTTTATAGGAATTCATTTAAACTGGGCAAAAATAGAAGGAAGTAAGTTTAATAAAGACATTTGAAGGATTTTGGCTGCCCACTGAAGATTGTTTCTTGAACTTAGGTATTGATCCACCRTTTTCACCTGCGCTGAAAGAACTTTTGGTGTGGGGTGATACATCAATCATGATATGCAGAGAGCACCCACACTCTGCAGAGCTGCTAAAAGAGGAATAAACGAGGAGAACAGTTTGCTGCCTTACTTTTCTTCAAGCCCGTTTGACAGGAAACTATTCCAAGTATTTCAGCTCCATCAACACGTGCAGTTTTTCCCAGCCTAGGGAAGATTGCTCGTTAACACTKCAGAAAGTTAAGTGAAATGCTTTCCAAGTAGATAATGACAGCCTTTGGTTTGGATGTGAAGTGTTAAAGCTCTTCCTTCCCCCAGTAGTTTCTGATGTGGGAATTACAGACTCAGAGGTTGGAAGGCACCCCTGGAGACCCCCTGGTCCAACTCCCTGTTGAAGCAGGGGCAGCCAGAGCCGGCTGCTAAAAGCCGTGTCCAGTCAAGTTCTGAGTATCTCCACATTTCCATGGCATTTCAGGGGAAAAAAATGACAGGAAGCAAACTGACACCAGATTGATTGAAAAATTGGAAAGCAAAGAGTTTATCAATGCTAAAGTGCAACTACCCCAATCCAGGCATGAGCTTGTGGAAACAATCAAGCAAACAAGCAAATTGCCAAAAGCTTGTCAGGATCACTGTGCCATGTTCCATTTTTTAGTAGTTCAGGGCACCTTCACTTGTTTCGAGAAGATACACATTCTTCACACCACAGTATATGCCAGAGCTGTGAGAGGATTCCAGATTAAGGTATTCTTATTGTGTCTGGGTAATAACTACTGCTTTGAGCTCCTTGATTGAGTTGAATCTTCTAAAAATGGGTGCAGAGAGAACTCTCTGTCAGGACAGTCAAGGACATCTGTGACAGACTGGGGCTGAAATGGCCATCAATATGATTACAGACACATGGTCAGGGCAACCAAGAGGGTGCCACAAGCTTCTGGCTAGGTTTGAGTCAAGGCCTTCCAGACTGGAGAAATTGCAGATTGTCCAAATTTAAAAATGGAGGCTTGCTGTCATTGTGATTTTTAAGACTCCCTAAGTAGAATTCAAGGAAAAAAGCMCTTGTGGAGATTAAGGAGTGTAACAGCTGGGGGAGGAGAATCAAATGCCCAGAAAAGCTGGTCAGTTATGGGAGTGAATCCCTTATCTGAATTCCTAATTGCCTAATTACCCATTATGTGGATTTATGGCTTTGGCCATGTACTCACAGAACCAGCGAAGGGCTGAAAGCTGGAGAAACCCTGAGGGCTGAAAAGCCACTGGGGAAACAGAACTGAGAAGTCTTCAGTAGATGCTCAGTTTCATCACATCTTTACAAGACAGGTTAAGATTTAAATAGTTTCCTGGTTAAATAGTCCTCAAGTGGTGCCATGGGAGGCTCAGATTGGATATGAGGAAAAATTCCTCACTGAAAGCGTGGTCAGGCATTGAAAGGACTGTCACACCGAGTCACACCGAAGATCCACCTAAATGCAAAGGTCTGTCTGTAAAAAGGCAAGTGCTGAGTGATGCTTCCTCTGTGCGACCCTTCCAAGTCCAGCTGACCTGTGCCCTGACTGCTCTGCCCGAAGGCTGTGCCCACCCCTTTGCATTCCTGTGGTTGCAGCMGCACTGCTCTGTTCTGTTGTAACTTACAGGTTTGTTTTTAATCCWGTTTTCCTTGCAAATATCTGATGTGATATTCTAATAAACATCTCACTCTGTCAAGCTTTCTGCATATGCATATGATTTCTTCATATAGTTATAGTTAAGCTCAAAATGTAATCTTAGAGGTCCAGAGGAAGAAATCAACTTAAAATGTGTAAGTTTTGCAGTAAACTGTTTTTCCCCTCATGTTTTTCACCGAGGTGTTTCAGACTGCTTGAAGTGTAATGCAGTTTCCCTTGCTTCATTGACACTTGCCTGTACTTGTTTAAGCAACGTAGATGAAACAACCTCAAGAAAAAGGCAAACATCATAGATCACGGCCCGCAATTGTCCTTTGAGTCTGGAATTGATGAAGCTTGGTGTTGTCTGCCAGTGTATTTGTAAGATCCAGATAAATTCCAGTGTTGTACGTGGTGATTTGAGAGTCAGCCTTCTCATTCTGTCTGTGTTAAATGAATTAGGAGATCGGTTTCATTGGGGATGCAGAGTCTGTGGCAGAGCATTGATTGGGTATTTAGAGGAAAACATGCAAAAAGATCATGCTGAGCAGCAGAAGGTAGGCAAAAGGAAGT